CATTACGGTACAGAAAAATTAGCCTAATGGGAGCCTTTAAGCATAGAAAATTAGTTCAGTGTTCTTAGTGGGAGCTACATACTCAATGAGAATATTTTTAAGCCACATACAAAGAAATCATGGGAAGGCAGAAAACACTCCTGCCAGAGCAGCTGTTTGTGTTTCCTTACAGCTACATTTTCAGAAAAAAAGTGCTCACATATTCCCATAGATGAATGGCAAAGGTACTAAGTCAACCAGCCAAATATCTTGAATATAAAATAACTTCCAAGTTTAGTGTTCTTTTCTTTTAAAAGGGAACAGAAGCAAGTAATTGAAGTCAGAAGGTCAAAAAAAATTGCTTTCTTGTTTCTTATTATACAGCCTTGTCTTGCTTCAATTCCTAGAGTACAAAACAGAGATTTTCCAAAGCTGTCCTGGTTGTTTGATTGTTAGTAAAACAGGTCGTTTGCAAACAGATATAATTCTGGGCTCAAACACAGAAACCCATACAAATCTCTCCCATGTTCTGCCATGCTACTACTGGAACTAGCACCATATAGGTTAAATGCTTCTTCCACACAGTAACTAAAGTGATCTAAAACCCAATACTATTCACACACCTAAAAACAAAGGAATACAAACACAATAACTATAAACCCTGAATGCAAGACAACATACTAAGCTAATCAAGCAGCAAGAATATCTGTAGCACACCAACATCAACCTATAAAAAGTGCGCTTAACATGCCAATGCCTCTTCTTTGAGACTTGTTGTCTAACAAATATCCTGAATTTTAGCCCCACCATAAAACTATATGTTTATGAAAAAATTAAAGTTTACCTACAGATTTTTTCACTGAATTCTGTAAACTTTTCTTTCACTTTCAGTTTGACAGGTGATAACATTTTAAACAAACTGAATTAAATTAAGCTTCTTAGTGACACTGTTTTTCCTACCAAAGATAAGCTTGTAGGATGAACTGTCTAATTTAAAGCATTTTAGATCGTATCAAACAGCAGTTAGCCCTTTGGCCTTTTACGTGACTTAGTAACAAGTCTCAAGAGATGTAATGCTCTTACAGTTCTGACTCCCCACATCCTCCCCATATTACCAAGACTTCATATGATGACCCTGTGTGGTAACCATATCACTCTTGGAAATACTACCAGAGATAATATATAACTTTCCTAGCTCTGTTGTATGATTACAAGTAGGCTCAAAACTGGCCAAAAGAAATGTGATACTTGCTCTACTACCAGTTGCATGCTCTGGGTCATAGACAGCAACTCATTTTCCCTTGGCTGTGAAGCCACAATGACTAAACAGATTTAATAGACAGGGAAGAGAACATTTCACATACACAACTAAAGACTTGGGGAGTTGTTTCTAAGGCATTTATACATGTGCTCAGGAGGGTTAGAGGTGGGGGGGGCACTTTAATTAAAGCAGTTCTGAGAGCTGCTTTAATTAAGTGCCCGGAGCATCATGTGTATCAGCATCCCCATGCTGAAAAATGGCATAACCAAAGCTCATCCAACAAACTTTAATTAATGTGCTCCCAACTCCATTTTTCAGCAAGGGGGCACTATGGCACGTGATGGTGGAGTCTACTGGAGTGCAGTAATTACCATGATTAATCAAGTCTGCTCTGATGCACCTTAACTACAACTGTGTAATGGGGAAAGTCAGCTTCAGAACTACCTCCCTATGTTCAAAAAAAGGAACAAAAGCATCACTGTATTTTATATGCTCCTCTGAAGTGGCTGGGGAAAAACCTGATACTTCTACTACTAGTAGCTGCTTTACAGTGAAAACAAGAAAAGACCATTAGTGAGCAGAACTGTTATTTGTTCCCATTACTGTGTCCTATGGGTGGTATGGAATTTGTTTCCCCATTAGCTAGGTAAGTGGGATGTATAAAGTGTCTATATGGAGAGTTCTGCGGATGTGTTAGAAGACGACAGATGAGGTCGGTAAGGTGCGAGACTGCTAAGCAAATGAATAAGAAGCAGCCAACTAAGTGGCTGAAGAAAGAGTTCCTAATGCAAAGTGTTAATAGAAAGGGATAAATGAAAGTGTTAAAGTGACAAATGATACCCACTGAAGTGAGAATCTAACAATGCAAGAAGCACCTACAATACGAAGGAAAACAATCATAAAAAAGAGAAACACAGGGAGGTAAGCAAAAAAGCACGAGCACAGTTATGTTACTTTAAAAACTATTTAATGAATATAAAGTTGATTGTTCAAATGTTACTACTAAGTAGGCAGATGTATGCATAATGTTTCCACAAATAAAAACTATTAAAAAGCAATTAAGAGTTGCCGAAGGGCAAAACAGATCCCTATTTTCAAGTTTCTGGATATTGGAAATGAAGATAAATGCACTGCATTTCCTTATGAACCCTTAATATCCAGTCAGAAAAATAAATACGATTCACAATTCCCAAAGGAGCTTCCCTTGCCACCAAAGGACATACAAGACAGGCACATGTCTGCCACACACGAACCTGAAAGGCTCAACCTCCTCAGCAACAGAATTTGCCGTTACCACAGACACCTGGGTAAATGTACAAGTCCTTTATTCATTTGGGTAGTTTGCATTTGGAAGCTGATATTTCATATTGCAATGTCTACTTCTCCCCACCTGGTGCCTCGTTTGTGAGAAGCAGTGTGTACGTGTATTTTACATACTAGGAGAAAGAAATAGAGCCTGAGTGAGTGTATGCGTGAGAGAGAGAGAGAGAGAGAGAGAGAGTGCAAGTACACACAAGTGGCAAGTGAGTGCCCCCTTTTTCCCTGGTGCAGCTCTGGTGGCTCAGATGATTACTCTCTCCCACCGGCTTCACCTAGACAACTGGAGCGGAAACAACAGAAGGTAGAGGGGTGAACTCCTTCTCCCTCTTCTACAGTTGTCCCTTTTCCCCTTCTTATGATCTCCACGATTGATCTCTTCCCCATGACGTCTCTTGTGTATGGGCAATATCCCTGTGCCACACTGGGCCAGACTACCAACACTGTCTTATACATCTTCTTTGGCACACAAGTGGGTTTTCCTGCAGCACAGGTGGCCAGGATGTCCAGGCTTCCTCTCCCTCCTTGAGCTTTTGCTTCCTGCCTCTGCTCCTGGAGGCAGGGTGAGGTAGGGCTGGGCAGCAGGAGGGTGCTGCATGTTCAGCAGGGGGAAAATTGAGACTGCCCAGACCTCAAGAGAGGAGCCATGAACATGTAAGAGTGAGTCTTCGTTGCTCACACTGTCCATACAGCAAAGAGAAGCTGGGTTTCTTGCATGGCAGGGGGAACACCAGGGCTCTGTGCTGCACATGGCCCCCTGCCATCCAGAAGTTGAACAGCCTTGCTTTAACTCAAACCACAGATCAAAAGAACCAGGGTAGGGGATTTCCACACCCCTGACTAAGTTACCTCTTTCTCTTAAGATGTATGCAATGGATGAACTGGATCAAAAATACTTCTGGAGGAAAAACCATCTGTCTTTGGAATGCACTAGCTGACATCTGTTTGTAAGGACTATGCACTCCCCCATCCAACCTGAGTTTTAACTCATCCTAGTAAGCTACTATTTTATAGAATGCTCAGAACACAAAATCTCTATTTATTCGTTTTTTAACTTTACATGATGATGCCACTAGCAAGAAGTAAGGAAATATTTACATTGTTTCAAGCACAACAGGGGCACATTAGGTTGCGTGCTACCATTTACCTGAAAGCAGAGGATTACTCTACAGAACTAATTCCTAATTTTCATGTTACATATTAAATCTCATTTTAAAAGAGGTTTCACTGATCCCAGTAACCATGGTAATGGCTCAACAATTAGAACAAATCATGCATGCCTTGAATTAGTCACTATTTGATACGTTTACATATTAAAGACTGATGTTCCTTTGTTTTAGAGCTCATTCGCATTTTAGAAAGCTTGACAAAAGGTTTTAGCTATACTTTGTTGACAATTTCACAAGTAAGGATTTTTTAAGTAGCCCTAACATTAAGTAAACAGTTCCTGCATTGCCCACAAAGGGACTGTACCATTTGAATTATGTTTGTTTGAAATGACTATAAGTTAAGGCAGGCATCAGTGTGGAAGCACCTACACCTGTACATACTAGGTGCTTTACATACTAGCAAAGTTTATTTTTTAAAAATTTTGCAAAGCTAGTAAAACTGACTAGGTATTTTTCTTTGGTGAAACATTCTGACAGAAAACAGTTTCCTAAAAACTGAAATTTACTGCATGAAGATTCTCACTTTCCCCATTTGGGAAAATGGAAATATATATTTGTTTCACAATGTTCTGATCTGGAATAGCAGCTTATTGAACTAACCCATAATGTCTCCCCTCATTCCCCCTCACCCCACAAATAAAAGGGAGTGGGGTGGGGAAATGTAACAAAAAAGGTAAAACTTGGTACAATTTTTTTTAGATCAGGCTTTTGAAATAAGTAATGCCTTATATTGTTCACCAGTTACCACTAAGTTAACTGACAGCAGTGATAAACTATGAAAAATGTCCATGACAACCCAACTTGATAGGAAATGTATCAGTTAGGATGAGAAATGCTGTTCAGGGATCTTGACTACCTTAGGTACACCGAAGAAAGAGGAAAAAAAACAGAAATCAGTCATTGAACTACGCAGAGGAAAAAAAAAGTTACCTTTGGAGAACAGTTGAAATGCATGCCGGGTACTGGGAGTGTAGTTACATACATTGTAATACACCGATAAAGGTACAGCGTGCCAACTATACAGAAGAATCTTCTGCTAATAATAGACCTAGGAAAAGGAAAAGGAGAAAGAAGTGATAATTCAAAGCAAACAAGGTTTGAAAAACCCAGGGAAAAACTTCATGTGAATTCTGACAGCCATTCAAGCTCAGTATTTTTTGATACTTTTTGAAAATCTTTAATCAACGTTCATGTAATAGTAAAATACTTTGTAAAAAAATCTGAATATATGGTATCTGAATATACAAAAGCAAACTTAGGCTTCATGAATACAAACAACTGTTTATAGGTAGACATTACACTTAATGCACTTCAAGCACGCAGTAAGTGCTTTACAGCTGTAACCGAACAGAAAATTCATGGCACAAAGCACTTTAAAAATGGCAGATTCTGCTCCAAGTTAACCTTGGAGAGATGTGTATTAACTTAAAGCATTTTCTGTTAAAGCGCCTTATCGAGCGTCTGTGCCAGATCCCATCAAGGGTCTGATTGCTGCTATCCCAGGCAGTGCTGTGCAGGGCTGTTCTAGCCTCAGGCAGAGATCATTTGCTCTGCCTGAGCACCAGGTTGGCCCCACCCTCTTGGCTGCCACTGACCTGAGACACTGGAAGCCTGGCTGAGGAGGTCAGGGAAGGGGGGTTTCCATCCCTGCTGTCTTGGCCTTGTGGCACGCCGCAGCTAGGGGTGTGCTGCAGGAGTCTGAGGTCTGTCTCCTGGCATCCACTGGCAGTGACCCCTCTCCCCAGCCTTGCTCCTCTGCCAGCTGGCAACTGTCAGCAGTGGCTGGGGTGGGGGGGGAAGGGACACCTCCTGCCACGAGGGCTCCCCCACAGCTTGCTGGCTCAGGGTTTAGGGGTAGGGGGTGTGCTGGATCCATGCAGCATGGGGGTTCCCTCTCCCCAGCCCCAGTTTCTGGCACAGAGAAACACAGGGCTGGGCAGCTCTGCTGCAAGTACTTACTACCACTGTCCAGAGGTGGCGTAGGGGGGGAGCCACCCTTCCCCCAAACTGTGGGGACCTGGCCCAGCCCCCATCCAAAGGCCCCAGCTAGCAAGCTGTAGAGGGGCCCTCACAATGGGGGAGGGCCTTATCCCCCAGAGGGAGCAGCCAGCAGCTGCAGAAAGGGCAGCCTGACCCAACATTTCCCCACATCAGGAACTGATACTGGGGCCAGGGAGGCCCCCTGCTGTGGGGAGGGAGCCCCTGCTATGAGGACCTGGCCCAGCCCCTCCCCTCCACTGCCCCAAGGACACCAGCTAGTAAACGGGGGGGGGGGGGG